TACGCTTATTTCCCCCTGTAAAAGCACGCTACTTCTACGTCCCTAGTGATTCCACCTTTCTGAACGGTCTTAGTAAGCACACCAGCTTACAGTTGTTGTAGTGGCTCTCTGAAGACGCTATCATCCGGCATCGATCCCTCCTTGCCTCATCATTATCATTGCAATAAGTATGTTGTCGCGGCATTCGGAGGGCGGGCCCCGGCTATCTTATTGCGAAGTCATTGACTCTTGTCTCAGGTACCCAAAGGATCGTATGTCTGTGCATGCATTGATTCCAAGCATCACTCACCTGGACGAATCAGATACCAACACTGGTGCTGAAAATCCTACCGTCCAGGTCCTTTCTTCACCTAGCGCGGCGACTTTCTGCTGTCATGTTGCCCCGCCTCGATACAATGTCGTAGATTGGTCAATTGCCTGATGCATTCAATGCCGGTTGAAAAACAAAAAGTCGGAACTTTGTGTACAAGGCGATTTGTTGTCTGCTGGACAAAGGGGGTCGGGGTACCGCACCTCAAGCCTATGCTTTACAACCCTTGCTTGACCTGGAGGGATGGACATAACTACAATCCCATTGCAGAGACGATCTGTATTCGAAAATTGCTTTGCTCGAATCTCTATGCAAATCTAACTGACCACGTACGAAACCAGAAAGCATTAACTGGATTACCCTACGAGCGAACCCTTTGCAACATCCACGCAGACTCGTTCACACAAGCGCTGAAGCCTTCAGTGTGGCTGCCAGCATCCTTTTCTACATCGTCTGCTGGCAAAACGTGCACACAGTATACTGCCAATACCTTGGGTGTGAGGAAGGACGTCAAACGGCTCGAAGAGGGATTCAATAGATTGGGTGACTTGGGCAAGGGGTATGCGGCATTTGTCAGACGCCCACCCAAAAGCTTGTTACCATGGAGGGACTGCAATCTATCTTGACAGACAGCCAACTGCGCCTTGGGCAACTGTAAACGATTTCAACAAGCGAGCCAGCGACAAAGCCACTATGAGCAGATTTGCCGTTCGCGCGTTGACTTCCCTATTGAAAGCAAAGACAGAAAGATCTTCATTGGCCTATGTTGCTTGACACAGAACACAGACCATCTCGCTTGCAATGCAGGCCGATGAGACGAGTCGCTTGCAAAGACCAAAAAGACTTCGGGACCGACGTGGTAAGTCAGGGCTACAGTAGGTACTCAATGAAGATCAGAAGATAGCATCTATGAAGCTCCCTGTATCTGGCAAATTGGGCTGCATGCAACTCCAGTCTCCCACGCTGATGGGCTCAACCTACAGTGTTCCTCCCAATACCCGCACTGAGGTCTTACGGAAGATCTCTCGATGGGCTCAGCATTCTCATACAAAATTTGTGTTCTGGATTTTGATCAAACGGCGTGGCTGAAACTGGGAAGTCCATCGTATTACTAACACTAGCCTACGGGTTTTCCGAGGACTGATGTTCTTGGAACCATTGTCTTCAAAAAGGGGTAAAACCACCGTGATAGAATGTTGAAGCTTTCCAGGACTATTGTTGTCTAATCATTCGATCGATCGATCCCGCAAACACTAGAGACAGTCAAGCGTATGCAGACTGCTACGGATGTCGGTCCTGCTATTATCTCGATGGTCATGCGAGAATAGTTTCAGTGGTTCTCATTCATATGGTCTCCAAGATCCTACTTGGTCCTCCACACATACACACACGTACACACCATGTGCCAGAGCTGGTAGTTGCGTATGATCTAGCTGCGCATATTTTTGCATGAGCTTGGCTGAGTGTAGCAGGACTTCAACGAACACCCATTTGAAAAGAGCCCGTCAGTCTAATGCGCACGTTCGGAACTTCATTCAAATGTCCCTTCTATCTTTTATTTTTGCGGCAACGGCAGGTCATTTCACCCTGGAGGGAGGGAGGTGAACAATTGAAAGGATGCTCACTGCCGGAGTGAAAAGCCTCAGCTTGGCCCAACCTGCTCCCCCAGGTTAAACCGGACGGTACTCAGCATGAAACATTCATGCACTTTGGACTTGCTCGATTGCTTTCAATCCCTATGGCCAGAGCGGAAACTTCGCTGGACACTACGTTCTCTTCGCGAGGTTTGGGCGCCTAGAACATCAGCATTATTGATCAGGCCGGAATGAGTGAAGTCAAGTCTACCACCCAAGACAATACATTCGCCGAATCCAGTCGTGTCATCTTGAAGGGCGATGTAGATCGTGAAGTTAAGGCAGTTAAAAAGAAAGAAAAAGGAGGTATCCAAGTCTTAGAGCGTTAACAAAACGGAACCGGCTTCCTGCACAAAAAGGAAACGAGGAAACCAACATTAGAATCGAGACTCCCTGACAACAAGACGGTCGGCCGACGATGGCTATCCGACAGCTACTGTTAGATTCGCTATCTGCTACCTGGCAGATCGACGTCAAGAACGGGTGTCGTCTGACTGCTTGCTGCTTGCTGGGAGGCTACCTATTCAGAGCGGTCTACTCGCAGGTGTCCTGCTTATTTACATAAGTGCACCAGGCCTAAGGAGACCGGACTACGAGATGCTCTCAGTGCCCGAGAGACTTGACTATGGACTATGGGCGTATGTAAATAACTCATCATACGTAGACTTCTTTGCTGTAATCTACATAGATGCGCCTATATCGAGCATACCTACCTACCTACATTTCCTACCCACGTAGAAACGCTACTTTTGAAGCTCAAAGGAACAGTCCAAATTACGACTCGGTCAATTTTAACATGATCGCAGGTAGGTTTACGGCGCAGTTATTCACGCATTCGTTCTGTTCCGATGCCCATTGAACGATTAGTACCAAGATAAGTTGCCCTGTTTCCATCCAGGGCCTGTAGCTCAGGGGTAGAGCGCTCGCTTTGCATGTTGGTTCTGACAGTATGCGAGAGGCCTAGGGTTCAAATCCCTACCGGTCCAGTGATTTTCACTTTTTTGCCGTTCGCTCTAATGGTAGCCGTTACCAACCCCTCCAGGCCACCAACCTTGATCGGCCATCCCACTTAACTACCAAGCATCCGGCGCCAAATCCCACCGTCGGCCGAACAGGGTTGGTGGCCTAGGTATCGGGATTGGTAGTTACGGTAACAAGTTAATAAATGCCAATCACTTGAGTGAGCAAGTGTAGATAGAGGATTCATTGGTGCACACGTGAATTCATAGTACAGCCCCAATGCCCTAACATCTAGATAGATATTTTCTGCTTCCTGTTTTTGTTGACATTTCTTTTCCTTTTCGTCTCGCTATCATGTCTTGACTCTTCAAAGTTCTTGGCGCCTTTGCGTTACTATTCGAGTTCGTATATAAGCAAGAACGGCATATGTAAATATATATGTATTGTATTCGTACATAGCACGTACCGGATAAGTAGGTAGATAATACTTAGCCGTAACATGTAAATCCATGTGCGTGCGATGCATTGCCTCCCTCTCTTGTTTCCTTCTCTCTTTTCCTTCTCTGGCCTCGCGGAGCAGCAGTCTACCCTATAGATACGCAGTGGTTTTCATGATGTCATTTACCTCAGGTGCTGACTGGGATCTTGTGCAGCGGGTATAGATATCCAATATCTAAAAATGGATGTGAAGGTAAGATCGTCAAGCCAGGTCACGATCCTAGTGTTTAGATGTGACGCTCACGAGAATTGCAGGGCTGGGAGGTACCACTGGAATTGTAGGTATGCCATTCATTACCTTGCCTCTCCGCCTTCGAAAAGGCCTGGCTTCTCGGTTATATATCCACTGTACCTACGCATCGGACGTGCGACCCATACGACGTCGCTCCAGCATGCGTCGGGGGCTTTAATAAGACCACGATCTTGATGGGGTCCAGACTGTGACTGGCGTCTTTTCTAGCACCGGTCACGACCAATGGAGTACCACCAGCTTTGCGCATTCGTGGACAAGTGGTCCTTTAATGGAACCTTTACAGGAGCTAACTCATACTGATAATACCTCCACGTTGTGCTATCATATCACAAACGCTAACATGCCCGCCGTTATTAGGTCTTAGCTCCAGCGTGCTCTATCTGGGAAGCCTTCTGGGTAATCTATCGACGGCGTCTGTCGCCTGACCCCAAGCAATTCGTGATGCGGTCTAGCCACCTACGTAGTTCCTACTTGTCGGTCTGTCACGCCGGGTCGTCTATTCCCTCTCCTCATCACCCTATATGAAGGAGTTGCCCCCTTGGCTAGAAAGGAGAGTTCTAACTTCTAACTTAATGCTTGAGCTATATATCCCCACAACCAACAGCCACTTACTCCAAGCGTTATTATCATTTATCTTGCAGCATTGCCGTTATTTCTTGAACATATCATGGCATCACACACCCTACAAGCTGAGGGCCCGGCCGACCTGGGACAGGATATAAGCCATGTTGAGCTTCGACCCCCTTCCCCGCCTCCCATGTCTGCGGAGCCCCCGCGACTCCTCATCATCGGTGCTGGATCTCGCGGCAACACATATGCTAAATGCTCACTGGAATCAAGCAATGGTATAATCGCGGCGGTTGCTGAACCTAACGATTACAAACGTCAAGATTTCGGAGCCAAGTTCATCTGGGGCCGCACGGCGTCGCCGCCGGACGGGTCGAGCTTCAAGCACTGGAAGGACTTCGTGGCATGGGAACTAGACCGTCGTGAACGACAGAAGGCGGGCGAGTCTGTTCCAGATGGCGTAGATGCAGCCTTCATATGTGTGCGGGATGAACTTCACCACGACGCGATCATGGATCTCGCACCACTCGGCCTTCACATAATGTGCGAGAAGCCACTTGCTACCACCCTCGAAGACTGTATTAACATATACCGCACATTGTCGCCACTGACAACGACCAAAGTATTTTCTATCGGGCATGTGATGCGCTACTCACCTCACAACATAATGCTGCGGAAGCTACTGCTTGAGGACAACGCCATTGGCAATATATTGAGCGTCAATCATACTGAGCCGATAGGATTGTGGCACTTTGCACACAGCTACGTGCGCGGCAATTGGCGAAAGCAATCAACCACAGCCCCGTCACTTCTCACGAAAAGCTGTCATGACATTGATATTCTTCTGTGGCTCATGTGTTCCCCAGCACCCGGATCAGATGCGCCTGAGCATCTACCCACCTCGGTCACATCCACGGGCTCTTTGCAGTTCTTCAAGAAGAGCAGGAAGCCGAAAGCAGCAGGCGCCGCGACTAACTGTCTTAGCTGCCCCATTGAGAAAGACTGCTTGTATTCTAGCAAGCGAGTTTATGTGGGTCCAAAATATAGGGGCCTCGAAACCGGCAATGTTGGATGGCCTGTTGATATTGTTCTTCCGGACATCGAGAGTTTTGGCGGTGATGTCAATAAGGCAACAGCTGCCATTTTACCAAAGCTCGCTGACGACTACGACGACTCCACGCCACAGGAGATAATTGACAGCAAGAACTGGTTTGGCCGCTGCGTCTTTGAGTCCGATAACGACGTGTGCGATGAGCAGGTCGTAGTGATGACTTGGGGCGATGACCCCCTCCCCTCATCCAGCGCGACAGCGAGTGATACACTGGGTGCACGGGGTGCTAAACAGGCGACCTTCCACATGGTTGCGCAGACAAAGAAGCAATGTGAGAGATATACTTACATCTATGGTACGGAGGGCGAGATCTACGCAGACTCCAAAACGATCACCATCGAGGATTTCCGGACAGGCGAGACAAAGACATACAGGCCAAAGTTGGAAAGTCTCGGGCATGGTGGCGGTGATCACGGACTTACTAGGCAATTTGTTCTCGCTGTTGATAGCGTTAAGAACGGATGGGATGCACAGAATGCCCAGGTGAGTTTACTCATTTCTCCTTGATGCATCTCTCGAAAGGCGGCATCGCTCAACCAGGATTCCTCTACTTCGGCAAGTCGCCGGGACTACTTGTCTCCTGAAACTAAAACTAGCCGGCTACTGACTCCTGAATAGCGCGAGTTCATCGGATGTAGCCTGGAACAGATCATCCGTAGCCACGCGATGGTATTCGCTGCCGAAGAGGCGAGGAAGCAGAAGAGGACCATTGATTGGCAAACCTGGTGGGACAAGAACGTAGCCACACTCTAATTTCTCAGCTTTCAGCCTAAGGGTGTGATAGCTTTCGGGTTAAGCGGGAAGCACGCCGGGGCTTTCATCCATGATTAGAAGCGGCCGGCTAATTAATCGGCATTGCTGTCGTGTAGTTTCTGAGCGTCTACGTGAGAACTTGAGGTTTTTTTAGTGGTGAGATCGTGCGCAACTGGTTTGCAGTGAAGGTCGGAACTGAAGCATAATGTAAGAGCAGTATCTGCGCCACGAAAACGAGAGAAATGAACAGACAGAGTAATCATTCTTCCTACAGCGCAAGCCAAGATGGGAGTGAATCTATCCCCTAGGATATACCTAAGATGACTGGTATCGAATTCCCATAGCTATGAAGGGCAAGTTCATCCCTGTCCCCATGAAGTGAAATCCTTCAATCATGAATTTGGCCCGAGTTAGATAGTATGCCTAAGCCTTCGGCATAGTAGCGTAAATTCACGGTAATAACTCAGTCCTGGCTTATTTTTAATCCGCGCGGCGTATCGCCTACGGGGGCACCCTTCGGCCATGTGACCCGACAGCTCTGGTGATCCGGGACCAGTTATATATACAAAACTTGAGATGTAACATTGTCACGGCCCGTAACCAACAACATCGCGGCTATGCCATTGAAGTCTTTCCAGGCATTCATTTTACTATCGCAATTGACAGTGGGAAATAGCTCCATTTTGCTGGCCAGGCTTCTATATTCGGCGGGCTGCTACGATACGGTCGTTGCAAGGCAAGCGTTGAGCACAACGGCTACAGAGGTGACCTATCTATCTAGTACTTACGGTAGAATATATAGTCTATATCATACATACTATCAGCTCATATAGGGTAACAATATTCGCGAACTCTCGGAAGTGGTGAATTGTGATACTTGAAAGAATGGGACAAAAAATATTCCGTAGTCCGAGGCGAAGGGCTCTTCCAGCTGCTTCCCTATTCATTAGTAGTACAGGGGTTACAATATATACGCGACCAAGGGCGCGGATCCTACGTTCTGGCGGTGCTTGGGGCGGCTATCGCGGCGAGCAGCCTTCATGGCGCGGTCGGTGTGGGTTGGCCGTGATATCGGACTCGGGATGGGGCTACCTTCACATGAATTGGTATTAGATCGGTGTAAGTTGACCATCCGCTATAGTATGAATTCCTCAAACATCATTAGTATAAAAGGCAGGGCGGGCGACCCTCTGACTTCTTCTCAACTCATAATCATTCTATATCTCCGTTAGTAATTACGTCTCAATTGCAAAACATCAGACAGAAGAAATGGGCTCTCTTACGCAATACTCCGTCCCATATGAGGCCAAGAGCGTCTTTGAAAATGGTATCCTCAGAAACCCCCTCCAGAAGGGCCTTCCATCTGAGCTCCGGTCCCTCGCTAAACTTGTCCGCTTCGAGGGATCGCATAGCCCGACTGTCCCAATAAACTGGCGTTTCGCCGAGAGCATCTCCGCGTTGAAAGCATTCGAGGCTACCATGTTGAACCTTCTTGTCTCGCTCAAGTACAACGTCGAACCCTCGGAGTTCACCATTAACACGCAAGTCCCTAGACCCCTTGATCATGTAATCCATGGTGCTTCCCCGTACTGATTCTTTTCACCAGAGACCACGCGACGCTGTTCCTCATGAGTCCAGTTGTCTCCAAGTTTATTAAGAACGGACGACCAACCGTAGTTGACATGTTTAGTCCCGACATGGAGCGACTCTTCCCCAATCGGGACGTCAATGGTTTTCTCGGAGGACTACACAGGACTCTGATTACGAACATCTACAAAACGAAGGAGGGTAGATTCTACCACACTCATGGTAAGTAACAACCCGCGGACTCCCATGAGTTGGGC